TTTAATGTTTTATAAAGAAGTCTCTTCTGCTCACCAAGCCTGCATTTATTTGATCCAAAGTACAGCAAAAACAGTAATGTTGTGAAATATGTTTTACTATTTAAAATAACTGCTTTCTATTTGAATATATTTTAAAATGATTGCTGTGATCAAAGCTGAATTTTCAGCATCATTACTCTAGTCTTCAGTGTCACGTGATCCTTCAGAAATCATTCTAATATACTGATTTGCTGCTCAAGAAACATTTTTTAGTTATTATTATTATTGTTAATGTTTTTTGAGCAGTAAATCAGAATATCAGAATGATTTCTGAAAGATAGTGTGACTGGAGTAATGATGCATAAATTACATTTTAAAATATATTCAAATAGAAAACAGTTATTTGAAATAGCCTAGTAAAAATATGTAAAAATTTTACTGTTTTGCTGTACTTTGGATCAAATAAATACAGGCTTGGTGAACAGAAGAGACTTCTTTAAAAAACATTAAAAAAAACTTTTGACTGCTAGTGTATATTCAACTTAAAAAATGTTTTTACATAATATCACATAATAAGGCAGAATAGTTTCAATACTGTACATTTTCAAAATATCTGAGGACTAAATGCATTATTAAATTAAATTCAGTTAAGACTGTCAATTAAGTGTGCAAATTTAGCAGTAGAGTAATTTACGAAGTAATTTAAGCTTGAAATATAACCATGTTTTCACAACAGAATGCAGACAATATGCAAACAATACACTGACTTCTAAACTTTTGTGGTCTATGTTTACTCATTTGTCACAATAATGAATCATCTTCATTTGGGGTCTTTTGTTTACAAATACTGGTATATGCCAGTAGTTCTCAATCTGACTCCAAGGCCCCCCATTGCCCACAACATTATTCAAGGGCTCCTAATTTCTGAACAGAAGAAAATAACTTTCAGGTTTTTCACTCTTTTTAAACAAAGCCTTTACATGACTCTTCCAGTCATTTGCGATTTCCTGGGTAAGGATTTTTACAAATATCTTTACTCACAATTTCTACCTGATCAAATATTTTAGAGCTTGGCAGATGTACACAATGTATATTATTTATAAAAAATATTCAAGGTGTTTTAAGATTTTATTAATTTACATGACTGAATTTAAATCAGTTTTAAAATTCTCATATATCCATATTTTCCAAGACTTTCAAAGAAAACAAAGATAAGTTAAGGGTGATTTATATATACACACACACACACACACGTTTTTTTTATCTTTGATTTTAACTTAATTTAATGCTTGTTTTATCTCACTTTAAATCATTTGAATTCATCTTGAGGCCACCTTAGAAGTTTGCTAGTGGGTAATATAGGCATCCATATTATGATTAATTTGCTAAATCAGTGTATGAGGTAATTTATTTGATTACACTGTTTAATCAATTAACAGTCCTAGTTTTTTAAGTAACAAACTGCGAGAGGTTCTGGACTCACCGGCCCGCAGATGACCCACCACATCAGCTATACTTCCTTTCTTGACTTTAGTGATGAAGGCCCCAAGTCTCCCACTTTCTGTAATCTTCCCTCCGACCACCTGTACAAATCATTTAAAGATGGGTAAAGTCTACAGAGAATTCATAAATGCCACAAAACCTATTGTGCATATCCATTGTTTTTTTGTTTTTGTTTTTTCCTTTTTTCGTACATGGCCCATGACATGGTGTAGTTGTAGACTTCATAACAGTCAGGAGAGGAACTTGTGTTTATACAGTATGTTTATGCGAGTTGCTTTCCCCTTACCTTTAGCCCTAGCAGAGACCCAGCCTCTTTTGGCATGGCTGTTCGCTTGCTCAAAGTGATTCGGCCAATTAAATGATCACCTTCCTTGGAGGGCTGCCATGTAACCGGATGCTAAAGAGAACAAGGCAGAGATTAATCCCATCAGAGAAAGTACCATCCCATTACATCTAACCCTTACCTCACCTTCACACGCATGCGCATTCACACACACAGACACAACCAGGGTTATTATAACTAACAGAAACTAAAATTAAAACCATAAAAACCATGTTCATTTAGTTTCACTTGATGTAATAAACAAACTAAAACTGAAATAAAAATGTATAAAAACTATATAGATATATATAAAAAAAGCACAGCACAACAAAAAATTACTAAAACTAAAAGGAAAAAAAAAACTCATTCAAAATATTAAAAAAAACTATAATATTATTTTAATTATATTAAAAATCACTGTACATAATTCATGAGTGTTCTCTGTCACTTTAAAGTTATAAAAACAAAGCTTAAATTCTTAATTTAAAATTAAGAAGTTTAATTAAGCAAAGCTTAATTCACCTTCCTGATCATACTGTAAATGATTGCAAAAGAAAATGTTATTCTAAAGAAGTCATTCTAATACTTTTTCAGAAAGTTAATTTTCTACTTCTGTCACTCAAGACCGAACAAATGCTATGCTATGCATAACTTCATGCATTTCCTAGGAATTAAACCCATGACCTTGGCAATGTTAGTGCTTTGATGTTTGAGCTACAGTGACATATGCAACAAATACATTCCAATTGATTTACAATTGATAGTTCTGCCATACATTTTCTTCTCAAAAAATATCACATCCTGGAAGTAAAATAGTCGGTAAACATCAATTCATGTTGAATTTTAAATGATTATAGTACAAAGTGGGAAAAGACTTACATGCCACGCAGTGGGGTCCAGTGGACAGCACTCCCAGTCCCCTAAAACACACACACACACACACACACATGTTCATAGAGTTATACTATACATATGTTGACTATGTGAGCTGCCACCTTACACTAGCCAAAGTCCATCTCTAAACCTGCTCTGTTTATGCTTAATGAATATCTGAGCCCCAAAAGGGCATCTGCAGCCAAGATCTCATGCTGAAATATGTTCTGCTTTGACCCACCTGCAGAGCAAGACGGAGAACTGGGATTGTGTTTGTTAATTTGTGCTTAAGAGCTACATTTAGTCCCCAGACAGGGGAAGCAATGCTGACACCAAAGCTGAATATACACTCCCACACAGACACACACTGGCACAAAGGGACAGTCTCAGCCCTTTCTGTGACGTTGGCCTTCTATTTACTGTTGGCATGTTATATGGATGAGTGCCTTGTGCATACGGGTTTCTGGACTGTTTTCCGGTTATTTTTGAGCACCTGGGGTATTGAGCATGACGCACAGAGGGTGAGGAGTGCTCAAATTGTCATCCGAAAAACAAAAATAGATTAAAAAAAATAATTGTTGCTATAGACAACAGATTTGAATTACTTTTAGTCAGCTCTTAAAATGTTCAATTAAAAGTAGGGCGATTCATCTGCAATTTTGAACGTGATAGTGCATAGCTTGTCAGCGAACTACGGCTCTGTGTATTAAATGCTGTGTATTAATTGAAAGCAGGTGATGGAGATTTCACAGAACCGGCTTTACTGCCGAGATGCGCATGACAATCGCATGCAATTTATCGTGCAGCCCTAATTAAAAGTGTAATGTACTTTCAGTTGGCCAGTTGCTTTTATATGGACAAATTTTCAATAAATACTGTAAGTTGTATTTGCTAAGAGAAGAATCACTTTTATTATTGCTGATACTTTTTTTAACCTTGTGAATTATGAAGCTGACAAAAAAAACACTCAGATCACCTTAGCACACAGACACACATTTATATAGATTAATATATATATATATATATATATATATATATATATATACACACACACACACACACAAATATTGGTTATTTTACAACATGACTCATCCAAACAAATTTCAGGATCAAAAGCTATGATTTTATAAAGTAGCTTCAGTTAGTGAGGCATCTGATTTATATAAGGTTCAGGGGTTCAAAATAAGAGAGAGAGAGAAAAAAAGAAACCTTGAGACCTGGATAGCTTACTTACAAGTATGTCAGGGAATCTTCATAGGTTAGTTTTTTTAAGGAAGGCACTAACCCAGTTCTGAGCAGGGTTGTCCTATAAAAAGTTACTCTAAATAAAAATGTTAAACTCTGGAAAGCAACAAAATTCAACTATCACTCCTGAAAGTTTTAACAGCTAAAAAATACAGCCCAGAAAAACATTTTCAGCACAAAACAATGAGCAACTTACAAAAGCAACATGCATAAATCATAATCAAATGACATGAAGTAAAATTAAGCAGAAGAGGTCTGCATGAAGTAATATTAAGTAGCTGTCTAAAGGTATAAATATTTAATATATTGCTTGTTGCATGGTGAATTGGTCCCCTGTGAGGGCTTTTATCTAAGCTTTGTACTTCTCATTCACATGACCTCCAAAATATAGTGCTTAGCAAATAAATATTTCATTAGTACATAGTTTCACGTTGCAACATTCAGTATGTATTGTTACACAATTATATTATTCTACCAAAGAGTGACAGATAGGTGCTTCCTCAACTATAGGCACTTATACGATGCTTGCTCTTCAGTAGAAACAGAAACATTTTAATTAAAATAAAAAACAAAATCAAGAAATCAAGAAATCAAATATATCAACCTCTGATAGATTAAACGGCACACAGTTAAACATTTTTTACCCACTTCTGTACAACTGAAAAATAACAGTTTTTTTTTAGTTCAAAGTGCAAATTATACATCCATTCTTTGGGAATTAATAACAGAACCAATATATTAACTTTAAATAGCAAAAGTATGAGGTGTCAACTTGAATTGTTCAGTTCCTATTCTTTAGAAGAAAGAGTTGATTCTCTTACCTGTTGTTTCTGTTGAACCTGATGAAATGTTGCACAGATAAGAGCAAGCTTGTGTTCTGCTTAACCTCTTCTCAGTCTCCTGTTCTCCTATTTTAAGTCTCTCATTCCTTCTCCAATAGTCTGTCTTTCCTAGTCACCCCACAATGTTTACATTTCACCCCTGGCTTGTGTTAATACACTGACCTTTTAAGTCTGTGTTCAGTCAGTTTGCCACGCTAACAGCCCAGTGTAACCTCCTCTCCTTCACAACCCAAACATCAACCAGTCAAAGCCAGTGAAAAAGTATTCAGCGCATACCATCTCCTTTATAAGTATCCACTGTAGATACACTGTAAAATACTGTTTTTAAGACTTGGATATGTAATTTATTAGTATGTAAATTAGATATTCAGCCTTTTACACACAAAAAAGAAAAAAAAAACAAGATTTTCACTTTCACTTAATAAAACAAATAAATAATCTATCTATCTATCTATCTATTATTATTTTATGTTTTTTAATTCACTATACCGTTCCGAAGTTTGGGGTCAGTGAGACTTTTTTTTTTATATAAATTCATTTATTCAGCAAAGATGCATTAAATTGATCAAAGTGTCAGTAAAATCATTTATAAAAGATTTCTATTTAAAATAAATGCTGTTCTTTTGAACAGTCTATTTACCAAAGAATCTTTAAAAAAATGTATTTTTGCAAAACTATTTCCACACAGCTATTGTCAACATTGAGCACCAAATCAGCATTGTCGAATGATTTCTGATCCTAAACTTTTGAACAGTTGTGTATATATAAAATGTCAAAAAAAAAAAATTTTCAGTATGTTTTATAAAGTATATCTTCTCCTGTACCTCCTGCTGTACATTTATGGGCGATCAGTGTTGAAAACAATGATGAAAATTGTTGAAAAACCATTTGCACACAAAGCAAATGAAAAGCCTTGCAGCATTTAAAAGAAGTTATGCAACCTCTTGATAGTCACCGCTAATCGATTTGCGTGTTGCAAAAATTACTAAATTCATTAATCAAACCAAATATTACATTCATATTGGTGATGGTTTCCTTTTCTGAATCATGGAGGTCTGTGTTTATGCAAACCCATGATTAAATGTATCAATTATACAAAAGCAGGTATCTATCTGACCCACCTCTCTCGCTGACGCTCTCAATCTCCACATCTTCACAACTGGTGTATTCTGGTGTCGAACCGGCCTCTTCCTCCGAGCTGCTGACAGACATCTGCCTCTTGTTTCCGCCCCGTTTGCTCTTGTAGGGGCGGGGCGGGGGTGGTCGTAGAGACTCCGATTGGTCAGAGCTGAGCGAATCATTGCGCAGCATGCTCTCAGCTTTTTGTCGTGTCGATTTGCGCAGCAGCGCAGCCGAGCTGGGGTCCAAATGGCTCGGCTGCAACTTCCTGTCCCATTCCTGAGGCTCCCTGAGCTCAGGTGGGCCTGCAGGCATGGCAGGGCCCACCCTGAACCCCGGAGCAGGCGGCTGTGGGGTGTGGTTTGTTTTAGGAGGAGGACCCTGCACAATAGGCGCACCCTGCAAACCTTTACCCCCCGCGGTCCTTTCTGGGGCGTAGGCCTGCTGCTGGCCCTCCAGCGAGGCCTGCCGCCCATCTGCCCATCTCCGTGCACCTCTGTTGTCCTGCACTATCTCCCCCGCTTCCCTCGCCTTAGGGTGCATACGTCCATCAGGCTCTGCCGGCTGGAGTTTGGCCAGATGATGTGGAGTATTTGGATTAGTCCTGCACTGTTCCCTGGGTGGTTTCTGCTCCCCCTCAGTCCTCCTGGTCTCAGGACTGTCGTGCTCCTGAGAGCGAGTCTTCATCAGTCTTCGACTTTCTCTCCGATTTTCTCCGGTATCTCGCTCTTCAGAGTGGATTTTGGATAGGCCTCGCCGCCTCTCACCTCTTGGCCCTAGCTTGCCATTCTGATCAGAGGCTGCTGGTGGCTTCTTTCTAGAGGTCAAATAATCACACAGCATCAAAAAGAGACATTCTTGCGTACAGTCTTACACCTTGTTTGTCTAGATTGTCTGCCCATATTGAAAAGGACTGGATGTTGTTTTAATGAGACATCACAATGCATCAAATAGAAACCAAATGAGCGACACAATGTCCTGATGCTCCTTGTTTGTCATGAAAAGACTCAGCTGAGCTGGTCTGCATGTTTGAGCTGGTTTAATCTGGTACTCAAGCCTGGCCAAACTGGTCTTCAGTCCGTCTAGCTGGGGTCCCTGCCTGGCTAAACTGGTGTTTAGCTGGTTTAGTTGGCCAGCTAAAGAGTGCCCAAACTCTATCTGAAATCAGCCAAAAGACATGCCTAACAAGGCTAAGACAAACCAAGACCAACAAACCAGCACGGCATCGCTTCTAACATATTTGGCTGTTTAGACATGTAAATTATATAATACATATTATAATACAATCTAAGGTTCTTAATTGGCATCCATGGAACCTTACAAGGTTCTTTTTAGTGGAAAAAGATTCTTTAGATTATTTAAATGTTCTTCACACTAAGGAAAATAATGGTCCATTTAAGAATTGGTCACTGAAAGGTTCTTTGGGGAACCAAAAATGGTTCTTCTATGACATCGCTGAGAAAGCCAGTTTGAAACCTTTATTTTTAAGAGTGTACTATATACAAATAAAATGTGTCATCCAAAGCTATTAGGCAATTGACTTAAATGTAATACAACAATATATCTTAACTGCAAAAAATTAAGTTGCAATTATCTTCCCTATTTTATCAGAATGAAACAGCTACTCAAACAAGAAAAAAATGTAGGGTGGGACTTGATTTTGTCCATCAGGAATTGATTGAATCGTTGGGTTGTCGTTGTCTGCTAATTGCTGTGATCTCATTTGAGTGGCAGGTTGCTGGAGGGTTTATTGTACTGTCCACACACTACTTTACTAGTTACTTGAAAAAAGTAATCTGATTACGTAACTCGCGTTACTTGTAATGCGTTACGAATTGTCAGTTCTGACTTCATGGAGACTTTTAAGCTCATTTTTGTATGCTATAACCTTTAAAAATTATTATGGAAAAAAGGTTTCTTTACTAGAACATTCTAGATTTTGTATTGAGAGAGAGAGAGGCTTAAGTGTACCTTCCTTGTGGAGGCTCACTGCATGAGCGTGATGACGGCGTGTCGGCTGGCCCTGTGGAGGGGCCTTTTCTGGGGTCGGTTGGGGCAGGTGACTGGGAGTCATGGGCAGTGGAAACTGAGGAGTCGAGAGGGTTCTGAGACCTAGAGCACACCTTCTTTTCCCCAATGGGATCTCCACACATGGTCGGTTCACTCACTGCTGACCCCAGCTCTCCAGGCTTGGGCCCTTGGCTGGGAAACCACTCTCCTGATTTAGTGAGCATATCCTGTTGCCTTCGGCACTGGTTACATACCCACATTACCTGGGGTAGAAGAAATATCATATTTCAAATTTAAATTTTCACTAACCTTGTGAAAGTGAAGTGTGTAATTAATGTAAATTTAAACAGAATTACAAAAATAATGAATCCAAAACTGCCTTACTTAGGTTTACTTATGGTTTATATTTCTACTAAACTGGTATATGAGAAAGTGTTTTGACACAGAAAAAAAATTACACACTTCCAATATGTAACATTTCAAATCTAACAAGAAGAACAAAGGCAGATGAAATAAGGATGGCACATTCCATGCATTTCATGATTCTAAGTCAATGACAAGGGACAAGTTGTGTCCATGATAAAGAAAAAGAAAAAAAAACTAATAGATAGGACAAAAAGTTTGCATGTATATGTAAAATACTGCACATGTGATACCAAAAGTTCACGTAAAACATGTCTTCCCTGACTACAAGGCTACAGATGAAAGGGTTCTTCATCATGTGGTGACCAAAAATAAAAGCTGAGGCGTCAAAAAAAGAGCTAATCTGGCAGAGGCACTGAAACCCTGCGATACGTGACTCAGGTCTGACAGACAAATGGCAGCCCGCTATAAGGGATAATGTAGGCAAGAGGAGGTGTGAACTGAAAAAATGAGACAGAAAGGAAACTGTTGTGCTAGCAGGGATAAATGTAAAGACAATGAATATAAGGTAGTAATGTTAGCTGACAGAAGGTGGGTGTTGTTGAAACAAGAGGTTGAGACTTGAAACTGCGAGGTCCGTGGGATGAAATCACATGCCCACAGAGCAAAGGCATTGACCGTAGTCACTGTGGGAAGATTTGCAGGAACTGTGGGGAAAAAGCATGGAGGGTCGGGCCGTGCTACACGCAAACATTAGCAGCGCTATCCATCACCCTCCTCCACACACACAGAAAGCCTGCCTGCTGATTGCTTTAGCAAGAGGATCAGGAGCGAGGAACACAAAAGATATTGGCACATTCCAAATTTTTTCTCCTTTTTTTCCCACTTCCCTCCTCCAGATTGCTTTTGATTAAAAGCTTGGGAGGTTGAGCGCGAGAGTGAGCGAGGGAGAGGGAGAGACACACATCAACACGTCTATATTTATCCAGGCAGCCGCCCAGCACCACTGGGGATATGTTAAAAAATTCCCCAGCGCACTGCATAACTTTACTCAGTGAAAACTACCATTGATCCTGCGGATGCAAGGCCAAACAAGTGATCTTACACAGCGCAAACACACACGCACGCATTTAACGCAAACATATACACACACGTAAGCTTACGCACACACGCAGCCTTCTGCTGCTGATGTCCTTGCCAGACAAACACGCTCTGTGGTTATAGTTGGAAAACGAAATGTTCAAATGTGCCACCTGCTACCATAACTCCTGTCCTAGTTTCCGTTTCTTTTTCTTTCTTCTTTCACTTTCTGTCACTCAACTAACTTATTTAATAATTCTAAACTTTAAATCAAAATGAACATGCTTTGGATGTACTGCAGTCATAAACTAAACAAATCAACAGTACTTTTCCAAAATTTTATTACCATAAATATTTTTGAAAAGTAACAGGTAACATTCACACACAGTAAGAAGCAGCCTACATGTTCTCATCTATGACAACTGTGACAGAACGAGGGAAATAAATCTCTCATCTCATGCGATTCACACACTCAGTCGTCTTCATCGAGACCTATCATCACTCTGTATCAGTGTCAGAAATGAACTCTTTCAACAAAGAGCAATATCTGCCCACTGGAATTGATTTTCTAGTGCATTTTTACCTTCATATGCATGGACATACCCCTTACACCCCCCTCTCTGTGGTCTATCATCACAGCATATTTTGGCTTCGAAAGTTTATTTCACATTAAGTGTTTAGCTTCATTTTATTTTATTTTTTTGTCTTCATTAAAATACTTTATAATAGCTACACATTCAAAAACACACACCCCTAAACAGTGAGAATTTAATATTATTTATACACACTGAAAAAAAGCTTCTGCTTTTCTGAATTTAACTCAGAAGATGCTAGTAAATTTCACAAATAATTACACAGAAATCATAAGTAACATTAAATTAAAGATACAATTCTTAGCTTTTTTCAAGTAAATCTTAAACAATTTTTTCAGTTTACTATTAGAGCATTAATTCATATTTTGAATTGTTTTAAATTATTTTGCAATTTAATTAGATTTTCTGTTCTCATTTTAATTTTAGTTTTATTCATTTTGTTATGTGTTAAGTTTTCATTATGTTAATATGTTAAGTTTATACACATGTATATAAAGTACATATATATAGCTTTAATTTAATTTTAGTTTTAGTACTATAAGTACTTCAGTTTTAGTAGTTTTAGTACTTTAAATTATTTCAGTTAACCGCCAAGGCAGCATTTCTAATTTTCATTTAAGTTTTTTTAAGTTAAAGTTTTACATGTAATAATTATATTTTATTGTATTTCGAAATACATTTTTAGTTTTAGTTAATAATAACAATTAATCTGAAACAACAAATACAAATGACATCTATGGGTATGTACAGTCTGCAGAGGCACCACAATAAATTCATAAATTAAAAATATTACAATCTAACAACAAAGACAGAAAACCAAGGAATTTGCAGCGGGGTATTTTTGCCATATATTTGCACTGGGGCACTTTTTTGTCTCTGTTGGTGGCATTTTTTACTCAAGGCCCTGGTTAATTTCTGACCTAGCTCTATACACCTGACAAATTATACATTATTTCTTATATACACCTGGCTAATTATACTTAATTTTAATGTGAAAAACAAACAAAAACACATGCACAATGATTACGGGGAAGACAGAAAGTCTCCAGTGATCATACTGTAGGAGTGGTGTTGATACAGAAGTAGAAGTGGTGTGTACAGGGCAGCGAGGGGCAGCTCTCTTACAATGAAAACGCATTATGCTGTGATTGAACAGGGCTGGCTGACCTCCAAACTAATCTAAAGTAAATCAGCAGCAGAATCCCCAGCTGTCAGGCACAGACCCCGACCCTCCCCACACGGATTACAACACTCAAATACCAGCCGCCTCTCCTCCACCAACCCACAACACTGTACCGCACTGCTTCCTCTCACATAACAGATCACTTATGGACAACAAGACAGGAGGAGGCAGCTGCTTTAATCAAGACAAACTACATTTAGATGATTTGTTTGTGCGCACATAAGGTAAAATTGTACTACTGGATTAATAATACACAGCTTTACAATATTATAGAATGTAATAATTTAGCAATTGCTTCATAATTCAACAAACTCCCAAGTTTTCCCAAGAAACAGTCCTTGCAAGAACCATAAGAGCATGAGACAGTTGTGGTAAGCCAGAAGATTCAGAATCTGAGTATAGCAATACGGTGGTAGGTTCACTGGGAGGGGTGACCCCTTAAAATTGATGCTAGACATTGAAAAGGTCATATCTTGGGGAATCGAAATTTTCTGGACTGACATATAAGACAGTGTACTATGAAAACATACTGCAACTTTCAAAACTTCCAATCCTTCCAACTTCCTATCCAAAAAGATCATTTATTGGAACTATGTTAGTTGCTAATATAACTCATTCCATATGTCCATAACTTATTAATATCAGACATATGAATACATTTAAACACATAATCACACACTTTTAGACATTAACAAGGAACATAAACATTTTATATGATATGATAGCGTTCGCTCTTTGAAAACTAGGGAGCATTGGACAAACCATTTAATTAGTATACTTCAGCATACACACACATCGCTAGACAGGTAATGAACACATCTAGTTAACATTTATGATTAATATTCGGCCAAAATGTTGTAAGAACATGTAACAGAATGATGTGTTTAAAGAGAATAAAAATAATCTCAAAAAGAGAATGGTCCTGCCTGTTGTTGATTAATTCCAGCAATGACGTTCTACTATATTGTCCGTTGACGTTGTACGTAATCATGTCACCGGAAACTGAGTAATCACTGTCCCAGTGTGCAGTGAGCCAGGGAACTTACCAGTGACCGAATTAGTGTACACGATATACTGATTCACGAGCCCAGGAGCTAGGGAGCTGATTGAGACACACCCCATGATATTATAGTACATGTTTTGCCAGTGCTTGTTTTGTATTTTTCCATCTATTATTTTTTTTCAACAACCGGATCTTGATGGTTGTTGCATTAGTGATGGAACGTGTTCAACTTTTTTTTAAAAGTCTATAAAAATAGGGCCCAACGTACTCTATTATTATGAATGATTAATATGTTTCCCCTGTATTTTGAATCACGCAACTGCATTGTGTTGTGTTTTACAGTCAAAGGAAATGTCCGTAAACTCAACAGATAATCTCCTGGCAGAAATTTGCTGGTAATTTTTCTGTACTTTTTTTTCTTACAGTACAGATTTTTCACTGATATCTGGCAGGCTAATGTTTTCTTTTCTAATCAGACAGATGAAGATGTGGAAATGGCTTTCCAGTTTGTTATACAACACTCAGAGGAAGAGTCTTTGGCATTCATGAAATGCAAACAATGGCTATAAGCTCAATAATATTAAAAACATTCCCAGGGGTCTGTGAGAGAAGGACAGAAAGTGTAAAGGAGCAGAGAAGACCAAAGCCACGAGAGGGTCAGTCTCACCCTTGCAGGAAACTCATCAAACTCCTGCAGGTCCAGTGATGGGCTAATTATCAAGCTAATTAACATCTGCTAATGATCAGTAAAGGCCCTGGTGCCTGTGAGCCACTCTGTCCAAAACACACATAAACTCTCTCTGTCCAGCATCTCTTGCTCTCAGCTTCAGATCAAACAATAACAACTGCTTCAGCCAAATCTGTTAAAATCAACTTCAAATTGATCACCTGTCTAAAAAAAAGGACAAGGAAGGATGGGTGTAACACTCTGTTGAAACAGGAAAATCTGCTATAGCATCCTCTCTCTCACCCCCTCCATTGTCATTCTTCAAGAATCAGAGTGAAAACAGCTAGAGAAACGCATTTTCCCAGGGTGTTAATTTTTTTAGATTATATTATATTATTTATTATATTAATAAAGATAGAACCCTTCAAAGCTATCAGAATCATCAATGATTTGAATTCAGGTGTTACTGTGAAATGGTTTCCTTTTAAGCACCTGGATATTTCATTGCACTGTAATGGCTATTTCAAACAAACCAAAATAAAGTGAACATCAATATATATATATATAAACTAGACAATAAAGCTGGCACAGTCTACTAAATATCTAAGTTAACCATCTTAGAAGCAAAGGTTGGAGGATTTTGAAAGTGGGCACAAGTTGAAACTTTTTTTTCTCCCATCTGCATGTATGTGTGCTTTATGTGTGGGCATGTGTTATCCAATACAAGCGTGTCCTGGATTACACTAAAGCACTCGTCCCTCTCCACCCTTTCAATGTGATATTAAGAGAATGTAATAGACAGTGCTTTTCAGTCATCTCCTCAGAAGACGGTTTATTTTTGTTTGTGTAAAACTGTCAGTGCTTTTGCGATGCAAGAAAAATGACATCCAATCTCAGCTCTTGTGGAACAGTACCTGAATGTCCAGGCAAACAATGTTTGCTGTGAATGAATCTAGATTAAAAGAAGACTCGTCATGAATATCTCTGGCTCTTCTCTACCCAGCATCACAATCTGTCCATCACAGCTCACTGAAACAAAACTCCAGAATGCCAGAATCTCAATAGCTCTGTTGATAAATTACTCTCAGTCAAAAATCCGATTTAACACTTGTTCGTATGGTTTCTCGGTCTAAACCACAAACCACCGTGCACACTCAACAGTAGTGGGTCTGGTGGGTCACAACAAAAAGATCTGTCGCAGGTCTGGTCTTCTGGAGTCAAGGTAAAAACATTGCTAAAAGCAAATAGTAAAATGCAAGCTGCTATATATTATAAAGCATAATTAGGATAGCAAAACAAACATACTTTTAAAAGTCAGGAGAAAATATACACTACTGTTCAGAAGTTTAGGGCCAGTAAGGTTTTTTTTTTGGAGGAAATTAATATTTTTATTCAGCAAGGATGCATTATATCATGTGGCACTAAAGATGAGATAAATGGCTTCTTAAAATTCAGCTTGGCCATCACAGGAACAAATTACACTTTAAAATATATATATAAAAAAGGAAAACAGTTCATTTAAATTGTAATAATATTTCACAGTTTTACTGTTTCTGCTGTATTTTTTTTTTAAAATGCAGCCTTTGGTGAGCATAAGAGACTTTTTTTAAAACAATATCTGTAGTTGTTAACATCAAGGTTGTCTATAGAGATCAAATAAAACTTTACTGCTAATTAAGTATTAATAAATTTTAAAAGACTTTAATAGTATTTTTGCATTCCAATTTTGGTACTGTGTTGGGAACCAATGGAAAACTTTCATTTTTAGGAGACTTAAGACATACAGAGTAACAAGGTCTGAGTATCCTTTAGTTCACATAAATGCTAAACAACTGCTGAGCGTCTTAACAATTTACCAACGGACCAATGTCTGACTCCAGCCGGCTGTGTTTGACTAGCAGCCGAAGGCCTGTCATTTATCACCAGACTCCGCCTCTTCTTATATCTTGTTAATATCATTTCATTTCCATCACTCGGCCAGATGCGGACAGGCAGGGCTGTCCACCGGTGTCAGGTCCACACAAACAGGGTGGATAAATGGAGTGCTTGAGTTCTGTGAGTGGAGGAAAGGGGAGAACGCAGTTCATGCTTCCACCTCCGACAGCTTGATGAATTGGGACGGCAACAGGCAGAGCTAGACCCATAATTCAGCATGTTATAAATCCTGGATAAGGATGAAAGACTGCCACAAAATACATTACCGTCCATTCCATCTAATGAGCCAGTACATCAGCGCCTGGAGCTCACCCACCGGCCCTCTCGCAAAACACTCCTTCACCCGTCCCTCATACAAAGACCATTCCTATTGTTAAATACCGGATCAATAGTGTAAATAATCTATTTCATCTCCCTGCTGATGTTACAAAACCAACTTTCAGTCTTTCGTCACAGAGACATACATCTCACGTTTGATAAGCTTAACCTATGCAGTCTGAGCCGGAAAGAGAATTGATTAGTTCATCTCTCGAGTATTCAGGTGTTTCGAGTCGTTCGTTCATCACGTGACAGACCCATAAGCTTAACCTATGCTGTCTGAGCCGGAAAGTGAATTGATTAGTTCATCTCTCGAGTATTCGGGTTTTTCGAGTCGTTCATTCATCACGTGACAGACCCATAAGTTTAGCCTATGCAGTCTGAGCCGGAAAGAGAATTGATTAGTTAATCTCTCGAGTATTCAGGTTTTTCGAGTCGTTCATTCATCACGTGACAGACCCATTAGCTTAACCTATGCAATCTGAGCCGGAAAGAGAATTAATTAGTACATCTCTCGAGTATTCAGGTTTTTCGAGTCGTTCATTCATCACGTGACAGACCCATTAGCTTAACCTATGCAATCTGAGCCGGAAAGAGAATTAATTAGTACATCTCTCGAGTATTCAGGTTTTTCGAGTCGTTCGTTCATCACGTGACAAACCCATAAGCTTAACCTACGCAGTCTGAGCCGGAAAGAGAATTGATTAGTTCATCTCTTGAGTATTCGGGTTTTTCGAGTCGTTCGTTCATCACGTGACAGACCCATAAGCTTAGCCTATGCAGTCTGAGCCGGAAAGTTAAGCTTAATAATAATAACCAACTCTTTATTACCTTTGTTACAACATTCAGTGTTTAGGAAAAGAACCATCATGACAGAAATTCACACATTTATAAACTGTATGAAGTGTAAAGCTACAATTTGAGACCAGAAATGCATCACGTAACTGTAAGAGTAAATCATAATTATAATAATTATATTAATAATAATAATAATAACTATGCACCCGTTTGTAAGGAAGCTTGTAAATTAACTAATTTCTCTCTCAAATGCTGTCACGTCACGTGACAAAAGAACGAACGATTTGAAAGACTTGCAAGTTATTGTGCAATGTTCACATTTAACAGAAAAAACTTTTAAAAAATCTTTAAGTAGTACCATCTAGTAATACAAAAAGATTACCATGTTCGACAAAGGTTCTGAAAAGGCCTGTGACAAGATTAAGTTTCTCAGGCTGTATGTCGTCAGCATCATTGTCGTCGCTGTCTTCTGTATGCCGTGGTTGGGGCCAATAGTTTTGTATTGTTTGTAGTGTGATCAACGTTTGCTTAAGTAGTAGATGTGTTAGGGAAGTAACACGTAACATTTCAATTATATTTTGCTAAAATGAACGAAATGACTCGAAAAAAGATTCGTTCATTTTGCTGAACGAGACTCAAAGGTTTGAGTCGATAAAATGATCCGAACTTCCCATCACTACTCTCTAAATGCCAACGGCTCGGTTGCTCAACACAACCCAGCATTACAATATGCCATAATTCCAGCCAATCAGAGACGAGGCTGCTAAATTCTGATTGGCTGCCTTGACAACCAATCACAACATTCCTTGCATTACCACGACAGCAGAATATTAAATATTAATCTTGTATTTAATCACTTATAATCTATATATTATTGAAGGCTGGAAGTGAAAAATGCCTTATATTCAGGTGTGCATAATTATTGAGCAGGTTATATTCTACAGATAAAATCTCGAGATGGATTAAACATGAACTCCCAAAACTTACTGCCAGATTCTGGAAGATAAATTCTTTCTTCACAATACCCCATAGATTCTCTATAGGGTTCAGGTCAGGCGAGTTTGCTGGCCAGTCAAGCACACCAACACCATGGTCATTTAACCAACTTTTGGTGCTTTTGGCAGTGTGGGCAGGTGCCAAGTCCTGCTGGAAAATGAAATCAGCATCTCCATAAACCTTGTCAGGAGAAGGAAGCATGAAGTGCTCTAAAAATTTCCTGGTAGATGGCTGCGTTGACTGTGGACTTCAAAAAACACAGTTTTCTGAACGCTTGGCTAAAGAAGAAAACAGATATTACCAAGGCTAAAGAAGAAAACAGATATTACCAAGAGGCCTGATAATCAGTGGGATAATGAGCACTGAACTGCATTTACAGGGATCTTTTTGCAGCACTGAAATGTATGGCACTGTTCTGATTAATGAATGCAGCTCCATGGGACATATTAACAGTATAGCAGGCCAAGCAAGACATGCATTCATTGAACACATTCTCTGGCCCTGATTTACTAAGAGCGCAAATAAAGGGTGTAAATTTGCTTGTGGAATCTGATATACTGCAACATGCTACATAGGTCAGACATGTCCATATTTAAAGTAAAACTCAAAAGAACATTGAAGAAGTATTGAAGAGCTTGTATATGTGAATGAGGGGAGTGAAGGAAAGAACACTTTTAGATTCACACTGCACAGTGACATAAAGAGAATAGAAAATGCTAACCACTTTGTCCTCCTTCTTCTTCAGCGTCACAGAGAGAAACAGGATGGTGGGTGGTGGAGAAGAACAAGAGAGAAGTATGAAATGACAATCAGATATGAAAACACAAAACATTTAGATGCATACTAGAATAATAAACACAAAAACAGCTTTACACTTACACATTAGCAGCATCAAAAGGCATCAAAATACAAACTGCATTTTCCAGTTGCAAAACAATAATGTCTTTGAATGTTTTACATTATATATTGTGGATTTATTCACTTTTTCCTTGCTATTATTTCAGGACAGATCATGAATTGTGTGGTAGTGTAAATTTGCAGGTATGTTGCCACCCACAGGGCAAACCTGAGAGGTGCAGGTTGCACTAATATTTACTCTAAGTAAGATTTCCCATGAAAAATTCCCAGTGGAAATAAAGGTAGTGCATGAATGGGTCACTGAAAACGACATGACATTCCACGTTCCACCATAGTAAGAATACTCATTGACACTACTGCTACTGTATAACTACAGAACACCTGCACACTGATAAACAAATCCACACTAAAGGCAGGTGTAAAGACTGTACCATTTTTCATTCCTTTATATAATTAAATATTCATACAGTGAACATGAACACTGTATGAGGTCATTTTGATAGAATGTTCACAATATAGCTAAATGTCTCTTCCTGTCTCTCTATATGGAATCTTCATTCAATGGCAGCCCAACACTAATGAAGTTAATGACGAATCCATCACACTGCAGGACACGTAATTTTGGACACTTATCCATTGGAGGCTCAGCATACATATCAACTGGTATGGAGGAAGAGGATTGTTTAAGTTCAAATTTCATGCAAATTAGGGGTAAAAAAAACAATGTTGCATGATGTCGTGTTTAATTGCGGTTTCAATTGTGGCTAGTTTGTGGCTGGGAGTTTATTACATGTCTTTAAAAAATACTTTGGGTATTTGGAAATAAAAAATATATTTTTACAAATATAACCGTCCATTCACTACCATTTGAAAGTCTCTTATTCTCACCAAGGCTATATGTGACCCTGGACCACAAAACCAGTCATAAGGGTCAATTTTTCGAAATTGAGATTTATACATCATCTGAAAGCCGAATAAATAAGCTTTCCATTGATGTATGGTTTGTTAGGATAGATACAGCTATTTGAATCTGAGGGTGCAAAAAAATCTAAATATTGAGAAAATCGCCTTTAAAGTTGTCCAAATTAAGTTCTTAGCAATGCATATTACTAATCAAAAATTAAGTTTTGATATATTTACAGTAGGAATTTTACAAAATATCTTTACTTAATGTCCTAATGATTTTTGGCATAAAAGAAAAATCTATAATTTTGACCCATACTATGTATTTTTGGCTATTGCTACAAATATACCCCAGCGACTTAAGATTGGTTTTGTGGTCCAGGGTCACATATTTATTTAATCAAAAATAAAGTAAAATTAGTAATATTGTGGAATATTATTACAAATTAAAATAACAGTTTTCTGTTTAAATATATTTAAAAATGTATTCCTGTGATGACAAAGTGTCACAAGATCCTTCAGAAATCATTCTTATATTCTGATTTGGTGCTCATGAAACATTTCTTATTATTGTCAATGTTAAAAACAGTTGTGCTGCTTAATATTTTGTGGAAACCATGATACATTTTTTCAGGATTCTTTGATGAACAGAAAATTCAAAAGAGGTTTTACTGTCACTGATGAATTTAATGCATTTAATAAAAAATTTAAAAAGTATTTAAAAATCTTAGTGATCCCAAACTTGTGAACAGTAGTGTGTAATGACTTTACTGACTGTGTATTGACTGTGCAATCCAGGACTGCCAGTGCCAACGATTTTCATAACAGGTTTATTGAACTTTTTTGAGTCTATTCACTCTGGACCAGCTCAGGCTACTCATAGCAATGGAGCTATTAAGTGTATTTCATCGCTTTTATCTACCGTTTCCAGTCCACCAGATTAAGTAGGTGTAGCTCTTTATGTTTAACCTACAGGCATCTAGCGACTCCATTATCAAGACTGCTCAGTAATAGCACATGCCAAAGGGCTCAGTGAAACAACATGCGCTCATTTCAGCGAAACTAACCTCAGGGCAGCACCCATCCGCTACCAACGGAGACTTCACTTCCATGGCATCACATATGGGATTTCTGCTACCTTCTCAGACACAGACAAGAGCACCTGAACACCTTTCCACACTCAACACTGGGCCTATCTGAGCTTTCTCACATCCACTAAACCAAAGTTAAACCTCATGAAGTGCCAAATGTAAGTAAAAATCAGATTTGGGAGTTACATCAGGAGTTACATTTCAATATAAAAGCAACAAACAGACCCTAGCTGACACAAATTAAATTATCTCCTCAGTGGAAAATGCACTTATTAGTAATATGTAATGTAATGAAATTAAATTCTGGCTGATACCAATAAGCAGATAATTGTTTTAAGCCAATAACCAATAAATTGTAGATACATAAGAATTATACATTATTTTGTCTAAATAAATGAAAAATTAAACACTTCTATAATTAACTATAATTAATCATTTTAATGTTCCAACTAAATTTAGGTATCACAACATTATAATGTGCAATTAAAAATATGGTCAATTCAGTATAATGGACAGAATAGTTGCCCAATTTACCCGAGTTCACACTAGATATTAATTTTGACATTTGCTAAAGACTTTATTTAACAGTTTTATTAAATTATTAGCATTTTTCAAGATTATGCGAGCATTTGGATGACGACAGAAATGCATCTACTTTCGGAAGGCCAAATAAAGTGCTTTTGCTTTTGCCTAGAAACACACAGCGTCTCTCTGACATGGCTGCATCAACACTAACTGCATTTACTGAAACCACGCCTTCTTTCTTTGAGTGCACATTTGGGCGGCATTATGCAAATATTTCCACATAGTGAGGTAGAGATGTGGGGGCATGTTAGAACGAGCCATTTTAGGAGGGCGTGGCAGAGTCTTAACTTTGATAAAGAATATCTCTTTGGTTTTGAGACTTTAGTCTTTGCAACTTCAGGGATCTTATCTATGCACAATCAGCTTGTAACACTCCAAAGAGAAAGGAAAACTTGAAATCGCATCATATGACCCCTTTAAATGAAAAATAGGGGAAATGAACATGTACAATTAAATATTCAATTTCAAAAACTACCAATAAACTATAACATTTCTAATATTGATAACCGATATTGTGTATACCTAATTTAAAAAATAAATAAATAACATTAATATTATTTATAAGTCACTAAAAATTATATCTCATAAATTTTTCATACGCAAAATAATAAATACTTTTTATTAATTTATTTAAAAAAAATACAAAAGAAAATGCCTGGTAGGAAATATTGACCACCAATAAAATTTCTCAATTCCCTTTTTCAACTTCACTTGTGTTTGTGTAGACAATAGTTACGCCACAAATGGCCAGGCTTAATTGTATAGCTATAAAAAAAATTACATATTTACTGCAAATGTCCAGATGGATACATCCATAACTAAATCAGTTATTAATTACATTTAGCCTTATCTCCACCTCACTGACCTCACTCCCTACTCGACTACCTCTGTCGGTGAGCTAATGCTCTCCTGTTGAGTCCCTACACTTCACTCATTATGAGTGAACACTAATTAGCGCTCCGGACTCAGTGGAAGGAATAGAAAGCGAAGGTAAATATCACACTCCAGGAGGTGGGCCACCATTTCAGGTGCTTCCCTTTGCGTGGTACGGCTGCCCCCATGGAGACTCAGTGCTGACTTGGGCATCCCAGCATGGGTGTGCGGCGACCCCCCCAGTGACCAGCAGCATCATCTCCTCTGACTAATGCCCAATTAACCTTTCTCTCATCCACCCAGTGCTCTTCTCTCTCTGCTCCTGCTTAAATGTGTGCAGATGCAGGTCGAGGAAGTATGAAAAACAGTCTGGCCACTCACACGATGTAGGTGGTACTCACGTTATTGGAACACAGAGAGACCCTTCCCCCGCACCGGGCACAGAACTTAGTCTGGCAGTAGGAGCACAGGTTTCCGCAGCCATCAGCAAACTTGGTCTTGTGGCAGATGCCACAGGTCGGGGCATCATCCTTGTGTTGGCCCTGCTGCCTCTGTTGGGGGGGCTCCGGCCCAATTCGCCTCACCTGCTCCTTGTAGTTGGCAAACTGCTGGTGCAACCTGTGAGGAGAGAAGAGATGGAGAAAAAGAAAGGGGACATAAAAAAATTTAGATTCAAATTCTAGTAGCCAATGTAACATTTTTACATTTCAACCCAATAATTCTTCAATTTTAACATGTTACCAGCAAATGTATCATTTTAACCCAATAATAATAATAATAATAATAATAATAATAATAATACTCTCTCAAATTAATAATTTTTCTTTTAAAAGTAAATTTCACAGTTTTTACCCAATAACCCTCAACTTTTACCAGCAAATTTAACATTTTAACCTAATAATCCCTCAATTTTATGAGCACATTTAACATTTTTATGTAACAACCCCACGTTTGACATTTAACCAGCAAATTTAACATATCTGAAATTGAAACTTGATAACCTGATAACCTACTTTGACTTTTTTTATATAATATTTAATAATGCCCTATATTTATTCAGATTGTCAATATGTTTTTTCTGATTGTTATATTTGACCCACAACTCAACATTTGGTTACATTGCTGGTAATGTTAAAACTGACCAATTTCCACAGTGAGTTCAAGGGTTGATCTTTTTTCTCCAAAATTCATAGAACAGAACCAAACACACACACATACATTATATATATATATATGTATATATATATATATACAGCCCTGACTGACCATGTCCACATGGCGAAATACCAACTTCAACTTTAAGGTATGTGTTTACTAGGAATGTGCGTAGTAAGCACTTAGTTCTTCTGAAGCTAATGAAGTAATTGAAGACAATATCATATTTCAAAAGATAGAGATACAAAAAAGTATGGTGAAACATCTATACTGTTTCACAAACTGCATGCAAATGGAAACTACACCACCAAAACCACATTTCCTTTTCCCCACTCCAGCTCTCTCTCAATCTTTCTTTCAGTCTAATGTTCTTTCCATCATGTAAGGTCATCTCAGACATTCACACGAATAATGCTTAAAGACTGCATGAATACCTTCCAAAAGAGTCAATCCAAACAAAACAGTGACTAATAAACAAAATTAAGATATTTCTTCACTGACATGACACGCATACAACACATATCCAGCATTTTCCCTGTCTAAACAGCACTGAGGTCTTAAGCATGAATCTATCCAGAGCTTTACTTACGCTAAAGGGGTCTTCCTCACAGACTCCTCCGCCATGACGATATCATATGACGTATATTAAAATAAGGAACCTACATAGAGAGTTAAAAGAATACGCTACCTACGGAATGTAATGAATGCGCGGCCATTCATGCACAGTGTGCTCCAGAGAAAGACAACAAGATGATCTGAACACCTGCCCCCCAGTTCTAACCCCGGTCTCCCTCCCCCTGTGCAACCCTATCGCTCTCTTGTTCCTCAACTCCGTCACCAGTGAACATCCTGTGGGTCAAAGATAAACATAAAGGACCAGCTCCAACACAGGAGCAACAAGGTGACTGCAAGATGTTCCAATTAGAAAACTAAATCAGTTGCTTTTTCACAGCCAGTGAGACTCAAGAGTTCAATACAATGTAATACAAGACATTTATTAGAAGGGCAGTTTGAATTTGGGAATACAGAATGAAACAGCAAACGCCAACGTTGTGCATAACTTTTTTTGTATTAAAAGAAGAAATATACAATTACATAATATACAAAAAGTGCAAGAACAAAGAACTATCTAAAAATTTCTATAATTAAATTACAAATATGTCAAATTAATACAGCTATCATTTAAGGTTGTAATATTCACCTTAACTGAGATACTGTCAGATATTTTTAATTTATTTGAATAATATTAGATTAATATTTTATCCGGTTTAGCTAGATTATCATTTAAGAATGCAATTTGTCTCAGATGCCTCTTCTAAAATATGAATCCCTCCATCCATCCATCCATTTATCTCAAGGGATATTTTTTAATGGCATGATCACAAAAAAATTGATACAAAAAAATAAACAAATAATAGGTGTCTAACAATATTTCAATAAAAACTATATACAATTACTCAATTTCATGTGCCTAAACTAGAAGAAATAAAGAGAGACAACATTTGACAAGAAATGTTTGAATGTATACTGAAACTTCTGATTTTTAATTATAGACTATGGCAAAAAGCACAGTTTAATACAACATTGAGGTCTCTTCTGAAGCTCTAAAATTTCTCATTGCTGACTAGAGAAACAAATTAGATATTAAAGAGGTTTTGTTTGTCATTTTTCTTTGCTAAAGGTACAGTATAACTGGAAAAAGCCATTATAATTCCAAAAGGCTTGAAACAGGATGCAAATTGCAATCATAGGATGCAAAAGCAGGATTGGAGGATTGCACTCTTCACATCTCAATATTAAGATGCAACATTCACCTTTCAAACATTCAGAACACAATGACCTTTAGTTACAGTAGCTATAATGAACAATGGAGCACAAAGTCAATGCTGAGATGAAATTGAGCAGCACTAGACGACAAAAACCTTTCAGCACTTTATGGAAAAACATGAGAAACAGAGACAAACATTGAGCTTGGCACTGTAAAAGAACATATGAAAGTGCTTTGTGCTCTGAGCAGGAAATGATATTCAGGAAAGCAGCCCAGGCTTGCCATAATTGAGACAGCACATAAAACAAAGACCCATAAGTGAAGCACAAGGTTATACGAAAGTGAAGCACAGCTTTACTTTGCTAGCACAAACCCCTCTTCCCCATCACAAATCATTTGCTTCTTTCTCTCTCTCTCTTCCTCTCATCCAGGAATAGAAGTAAACCTTGTGTGAAATGCAAATCAGGCACAGAGTCTGCAAGAAACGGTGAGCAATTCACACAGGTCTCCGGCATTAGCATAGAACTTGGTGTAATTAAGGTATGAGGAAGCTCTAATTAACGTGGTAAAGTGTGGGGACACGGAGGAGAGCCGGCGTGGAGATGCGTGAGGTGGGATGTGTTTTTATGCCGTTCTCCCCTACTTCATGACAGCTGGTCTCAGTGGCTGCTGATGTCATCGGGTGAGCACATGGAAACGTCCATGATTAAACAGCTGTCAGCAGTCGCTCGTACTAACACACACCATGACAGGAGCCACAACTGTAACTCATTGGCTGTGCGCAGCGTTCCTGCGGAGGCTTTGGTGGGGCCTACACGCTGGCCCATTTATCATGTCCCCTAGGCCCCACGGCTCCCTACATGGGCATAAATCCACCCTATCTGTGCCAGGATGTTGTATGAAAGGACAGACGAGGGACAGAGATGTAGTGAAAGTACTGCTGAGGTTGAGTCAGTGTAAATTCAACATCATTCACAGCGAATACCGGGACAAATGTGCGTTTATGAGGGAACAGCGCACGTTGGCAACCTGTGATGGAGCCATAAATGAAGCTTACAGACACTAGCAGCTCCATTCATCCTCTAACACAAGAGTACAAATCTGAACACCACTCACAGGACACTTGTGCTGTGTTCAACAGGAAAAACAGCTTGAATACACTAAATAAACATGTCCTAACACACACCATGACAGGAGCCACAACTGTAACTCATTGGCTGTGCGCAGCGTTCCTGCGGAGGCTTTGGTGGGGCCTACACGCTGGCCCATTTATCATGTCCCCTAGGCCCCACGGCTCCCTACATGGGCATAAATCCACCCTATCTGTGCCAGGATGTTGTATGAAAGGACAGACGAGGGACAGAGATGTAGTGAAAGTACTGCTGAGGTTGAGTCAGTGTAAATTCAACATCATTCACAGCGAATACCGGGACAAATGTGCGTTTATGAGGGAACAGCGCACGTTGGCAACCTGTGATGGAGCCATAAATGAAGCTCACAGACACTAGCAGCTCCATTCATCCTCTAACACAAGAGTACAAATCTGAACACCACTCACAGGACATTTGTGCTGTGTTCAACAGGAAAAACAGCTTGAACACACTAAATAAACATGTTAATAAAGAAGTTGACATTTTATGTATACAGTCATGGCCAAAAGGTTTGGCAGTGACATAAATTTTATGTTTTGCAAAGTTTGCTGCTTAAGCTGTTGTGGTGTTCATTCACATTGTTTCTAGATTATTGTGTAGAGTGATCAGATGCATTTTAAATAATTGCTAAAAGCTTCATTGGACAAAAAATTTCACTGTTTTTTGATTCTGACACAAAATGACCAGCTAACATTAATTGACTAATCATATCAGCAGCACACGAGAAAGTGTGAATGAGTACTAGTCAGGTGAAATCACTATCATACTAGAGCAGACTGATTGCAATAAAAGGAGGAAAGAAGCACTTCCTGTCATTGTGTTCTTTTTAGTAATGGTTACCTCCAAAGAAACACGTGCAGCCATCGTCGCTTTGCATCAAAAGGGCCTCACATGCAAGGAAATTGCAACAAAGAATCTTGCACCTGAAAGAACCATTGCACCTGAAAGATCAGAGGGAGAGAGGTTCGACTGCAGTGAAGAAGTCTTCAGGACGTCCCAGAGTGTCCAGCAAGCACCAGGACCGTCTCCTCCTGAGGAGTCAGCTACGGAATCGTGTCACCAGCAGTGCAGAGCTTGCTCAGGAATGACAGCAGGTTGGTGTGAGAGCATCTGCACGCACAGTGAGGCCAATACTTTTGGACAACGGCCTGGTGTCAAGAAGGGCAGCAAAGAAGCCACTTCCCTCCAAGAAAAACGTCAAAGACAGACTGAAATTCTGCAGGAAGTACAAGGATTGGACAGCAGAAGACTGGTGCAAAGTTATTTTCTCTGATGAAGCTCCCTTTCGACTGTTTGGGACATCTAGAAAATCGATAGTTCGGAGAAGAAAAGGTGACCGCTACCATGAGTCCTGTGTTGTGCCAACAGTGAAGCATCCTGAGACCATCCATGTGAGGGGTTGCTTTTCAACCAAGGGAGTGGGCTCTCTCATAATTCTGCCCAAAAATACTGCCATGAATAAAGAATGGTATCAAAACGTCCTGCAAGAGCGACTTCTTCCAACGATCTATGAGCAATTTGGTGATGATCCGTGCATTTTCCAG